CCCCCCCCCCCCCCCCCCCCTCATGCGTACATACAGACGCAATGCCTCTTTAAAAACAGGCTGTACTTCCCTACCCCGCCCGACCATGCCCCCGCTTCGGCACCAGCACCCACACCAGCACAAGCACAAGCGCACAAGCACGCAAGCACGCAAGCAAGCAAGCACGCACGCACGTACGTACGTGCAAGCGTACGAGCGATGTACGTACACACATGTAGGTACTCGACTACGTATTCGTGGCATTTTACCTTGTGTAATTTGCCCCTTGAACAGAAAGCCCCTAATTATGCCTCAAACCTGGCGCCCCACGCCCTAGACTTAGACCTCAAACCTGCGGTCCTGGATTAATTCCAAATCTCAAACCCTTCAGGGACCTTGGCCCCATTACTTTCCCGCCAAACAAACGCTGAGCCTCTAAGAGGCAAGAGCTCTTCCACTGGCCGCTGGAGCCGCCAGAAGAGGAGCCGGGCGCTGACAGTGGAAGTAATAGAAGTCGGGACCGTGAGGCTTCTTACGAGCTGTAATCAGCATTATCAAGATAGGTCGTCTCAATAATTCAGTAGTGACGGCATTAAGATGCAGTTCAGCATGCATGGGTGTCGCTCTGACTCAGGATCCGTTTACGACCTTTTTTGCCTTAAGCTGTGACTAAGGTTGATACCACTTCAGCTTAGACTCTGATTGGATGGCAATAGCGGCCAACATATCAACAAGAACAGCAGCGACACCAGCACGACGAGCAGTAGTCACGAGAGCGAAACGGGAGCGTATTCCCGATCGTCTTCGGAATCCTGAAGCAAGCTCATGTGCAGCCTTAAGCGGTGGTTGAGTCCCATACGGCCAAGAAACGGCTTCGCCAAGGACACATGCACCCAGGCTTCAAGCCACAAAAGCCCATGAGAACGAGCATGAGAAGCATAACCACAGCTGCATGAACCAACTTCAGTAATGAAAATAATGATATGAAGCAGACATTGCCTTGGTATTCAACATAAGTAGGAGGATTGCCACATGTTTTTAAAGTTTGCACCCCTGTTCATGCTTGTGTTCTTGTAGTGCGGAGAGTAACTGAAAAAGTGCCCGCCGTCCCTGGGAAATATCAGACACAGAAAAGCCAAGGGACAGCAGCCGGTTTCCGGAAACGGTTCGTGGATTCGCAGCTTCTCAAGGCTCGAGTAAGAGCTGCAGCTGCCTGCTTTGAGGATGGTTTTGATGAATGGTGTCGTGGTAGTGATGGTTGCTGTTGCGGTTGCGGTTGTGGCTGCTGTTTCTGTACCGTTTTGGTAGCAGTTGTGGTGATGGTTGTTGTTGTTGTTGTTGTTGCTGTTGCTGTTGCTGTTGCTGCTGCTGCTGCTGTTGCTGTTGCTGTTGCTGTTGCTGTTGCCGTTGCTGTTGCTGTTGCTGTAGCTGTTGCTGTAGCTGTTGCTGTTGCTGTTGCTGTTGTTGTTGCTGTTGTTGTTGCTGTTGTTGCTGTTGCTGTTGCTGTTGCTGTTGTTGTTGTTGTTCTTGTTCTTGTTCTTGTTCTTGTTCTGGTTNNAATTTGTGCGATCAACCTTGTTGTTGTTCTTGTTGTTGTTGTTGTTCTTGTTGTTGTTTTTGTTCTTGTTCTTGTTCTTGTTATTGTTATTGTTCGTGTTCTTGTTCTTGTTCTTGTTCTTGTTCTTGTTGTTGTTGTTGTTGTTGTTGTTCTTGTTCTTGTTCTTGTTCTTGTTCTGGTTCTTGTTGTTGTTCTTGTTCTTGTTCTTGTCTTTGTTGTTCTTGTTGTTGTTGTTGTTCTTGTTCTTGTTCTTGTTCTGGTTCTGGTTCTTGTTGTTGTTCTTGTTCTTGTTCTTGTCTTTGTTGTTCTTGTTGTTGTTGTTGTCGTCGTCGTTGTTGTTGTTGTTGGACGCGAAGCTCCTCCAACATCACATGGCCAGGTCTTGCCTTTCTAGGTCTTCTTTCCGGTTGTCATCATTGGCAGGTTCACGAGGGCCCCTGCCCGAGTCAGACGACGAAGAAGGTGACGAAGAGGACATGTTTTGCGATCACGACGTGTGCACGAGAGCATGGCTTATTGCCGGGCAGCGACTTTGGGTTCGTAGGTCTCATGGAAGCGTGCTCGGCGATGTTTGTTCATTGAAGATCCTTACTCCGTGCCCACAGGGCCGGGACTTTCTTCATCCTCATTTTCTACTTCCTGGCCGGCATTGCCTCCAAAAACCTGATAAACAATGAAACGGACAACAGCAATGATATAGGTAATAATCCATCAACTGAATCCATTTCCCGTCTTTGTTAGACATCCAGAAGATGGTGATAGTTGTCCGTATAATCACCCAGTTCCCATCGCCACCGTCAGAATCATCACCATCACCATCGTCATCGTCGCCAACATCACAATCATCAGCACTGCTACCGTTATCACGGTCACCGCCTCACTATCACTCTCTTCACCATCAACCGTCGCATCGATCTTCATCTTCATGTGCTTCCTGCGAAAGTGTGCTGTGCGGCCGGTATTCATGGATCCGAAGGCTAGCTGGAACGGCAGTGGTTGCTAGCCACCACGACTTTAGGGTTTAGGGCGTTTAGGGTTTAGGGAAGACTTCGTATGGCGTCTCAATCCTAACACCACGGGGACGGCCGTCAAGAGTGATTTCAAGCTTCTGCGGAACGCAGTCGGACGCAGGTTAGTGGCTTTGGGTTCTCAGGTTTTATGCAAAAGAGCGCTCGGCAATGTTTGTGTCTTGAGCATCACAAGCGGAATAACCGAATCGTAAGGACGATGATGACAGAGATCCTCGCGCACCACAGCGGGACATCGACGGTCGCGACATTCAGGACGACCTGCCTGGCGTGAGCTTGCTTCAACCGTGAATTTCCCTGAGACATCTTGCAGAGTCCATGGTGCAGGGTGGCATTCCATGGGACTTCATAATAATATGAATAGCAGCAGCTCACAAAAATCGTCCCGAAATGTTTCCGCCATCACGATCACCATCATCAGTATCATCATCTTCTTCTGCCTCGTCCTCCTTCCGCTCCCCAGATCAAGATAGGGGTGATAAGTGTTTGAATAATCACCCGCTCACGAACAGTGCGAATCTCCACAATTCAGTTATCACCATCGTTACCAACATCAGCACCACCAACATCATCATCATCACCATCATCATCATCATCCTGGTTATCGTCGTCGTCATCGCTTCTTCATCGTCATCGTCATCGTCATCACCGTCTGCATCGTAGTCGTCATCGTCATCGTCAGCATCATCATCGTCATCATCGTCATCATCATCAGCATCATCATCATCATCATGATCATCGTTATCACCACCATCATCGTCATCATCATCATCGTGATCATGATCATGATCATGATCGTAATCGTTACAGTATCTTCAGCACCAGCACCAGCACCAGCACCAGCACCAGCACCAGCACCAGCACCAGAAGCAGCATCATGGTCAAGAGCACCATGATCAACATCACCATCATCATCCTGTAAAATCCTAGCCAAGGGTTGCCGGACACGTTAACGATAGGCGATGATCCGTGGCCTACTCGACAGACGCCGATGTTCTTGACAGCTGGGGGGGGGGAGTGGTTGACCGCCACCGCGACTTTGTCTCCTGCGAGTCCACCCCACACCAGTCCACCAAAAGGTGGACAGAATAAAATTTTCACGTGTTGAAGGCTTGATCGAGGATGCTGGCTGCGTTGCGGCAGCAATGCAGAATGAGCAGCCAGAAGCTCCGTCACAGGCACCAATCGATGATTGGGAAGACATCATCCCTATGAAGGGCAAAGGCCGGCTGCTTGTAGGTTCGACTCTGCATCTTCCGCGAGTGCATGTGCAGGCGAGGGAAAGGGAAAGATGGAACCCAAGGGTTTCCAAGGGAAAGGCGGCATGAAGGGAAAGGGCTGCGACCTCAGCTAACTCACAGCTGCCTTTATCTGCTTCTTGCTGCCTGGGCGTGAAAGGCAAGGGAAAGCCGTCCTGGGACGACCTCATAATGGATCCCACTCCGAATACCACGGAGACGGCCGTCAAAAATGCACTCAAGGCTGGAGCTTTAGTACAGAAGCCAGCCTCCGCTGTAAGGAGCTCCGGCGGGATGTCGGCGGATACACTCGCGAGGCGTGCATGGCTGAGTGCACGGCTGATTGCAGGGAAGCGGCTTTTTTAGTCATGGAGAAGAGTAGCTCAACATCACAGGCGAACCAAAACAATCGTGAGGACGATGTTGGGATAGATCCTCGTGCGCCTCCGCGGAGGGGCACCGGCGGCCGCGACCGTCAGGCCTGTATTTCCCTGAAACATCTGGTGGTATTCCACGGGACTTGCAATATTCAGGGCAAAGCTCACAGAAAGCCTGCCTAAATAGTCGAAGCCTTTCTGAATGATTCTGTCTTTGGAGACTGCTGCTCATGCCGTCCGCAAAGCACTTGAACCTGTCTTGGGGATTGGGGAAGTTGCCAAGACTTGTAGGTACTCAATCACGCATCATTGCAAGCACATGTCTTCGGAGAGCAAAGGAGGGCGGAGGGTTGCGAAGACAATGTGGTTTGGTTTCGAGATTGTCGGATTTCGCAGCCACATGAGGTCCTTTCAAATTTCGCAATTTCATCAGCTAGGGCTCGAAGCTAGGTCTTTGTAAAGGAGGGTCAAGTTTCTTGGAAATTTAGTTTTTGCGCCTGTGGGTAGTTTTGGCCTTTACAGATGATAGGCCCAGCCGATGCTTGGATCAGAAGCTCACAGCTGATGTAAGCTGACTGTAAAGCCCCCCAACACCACAAGCCACCAGCAACATGCCAGCCCTCACATTCGGGATTCCGGAGTAAAGACCACGAAGCCCCAACTACCGAATCTTCAATCCCCATCCCCAAAAGCTTCCATGCCGAAGCCGCTCCAAACTTCTAATGTAGAACCGTCGAACTGCTTTCAGAGCCACCAGCCTCCGTTTCCGCGAAAGCCCGACAGTTGCACACCCTGAACATCAACATTCGTAGTGTTCTCCATTGCTAATTGAACATCAACGTTCATGGTGTTCCCTATTGCCATTCCGCGTACTCTTAGTCTTCTTATTCGTATCTGCGGTAGAGTAACCAGGTATATTATCGGGAGTGTAGTCTTGGACTCGTACCACTGATGCCATTGCCTCTGGTTTGTTTGGCTGATTTTTTCATCCAAAGCCCCACAACGTTTGCATTCCGCTCCTTCCGCTCCAGGGAGCCGCCGCCAGTTCTTTGGTTCCAGAGCCCCGACTCTGCGAAGCGGTGCCAGGCTACAAAGGCCCCGCTCCGACGACAAGTTAGAGATCGGTTTGGGGATCCGAGTTTGTTAGGTTTGGGGATTTGGGTACTGAGGGTCGCGTCGGGGTTTGCAGTTGCGTCTGCAGGATGTTGTAGTTGCGGGCTCTGTTCCTGCTGGGGTTTCTGTCCTTGCGTGGCCTTGGGAGGTGCTTCACAATCTTGGCGTGTTGGGTTGTGGGGTTGCGGGTTGGCCCCTGCTTCGCAGGCAGTTGCGCCATCCCGAAGCTGCCAGAGGACGTGCTGGCAGTCTTGGCGTTGAACGCTGCATGGTTCCTGGCCTGATCTAGCATCTACACTTCACAACACCACCACACAACCCAAACACCGTTCAGATCTTGGGTTTCGAACTCAGGCTCTCGTTGGTATAGTACAAAGACCCCCTGACACAGAGACCCAGACGACACCGTCCTGCCAAACAGATAACGAGGTCATCGTTTGGTCGGCCGGTGACATGGTCGGTTTTCGCGTGTTCGATTCCCCACAAACAGGCTTCCTGCTGTCAAGCATTATGTCGGGTTCTTCCTTGGAATCCGTCAATGTCAGTTCAGACGGTTTATAGTTTTGATGTCCTGTGCTTTTGTCCATGTATCTTTTCTCCCTTTCTGAACCCATGTATCTTTGTTCTGCTCTTCTGAAATCCTGTTGCATTCGGGAAGCAGAATTGCGTGTTTGTTATTCAGGGGTGGGAGGAGTTCGAACGGAATCTGTCAAAAGCCAAAGCCACGACCATTGGCCCATATGCTCGAGCTCAGGATCGCCCCAAACCCTGAACCATAGAAGCCCTGAGCGGTGAACCGAAACCTTGACTTCCTGACTCTACGAGCCACTTTATGGACTTGCTGTGAGTGTCAGAGCGGGGGTTCAGGCGGCAACTTCCTTTTTATGTCTTGGGTGAAGGCTTGTGGTTTGGCACAGGGATGAAGATGCAGGGTCTAAGGTTTGGTTGCTTTCGCATTTCATGGAGACGTGCGTGGGCTTGAGGTCCAGGTTCGAGGCTTAGTAAAGCAGGAAGGTCAAGAAAGTGGGGTGTGGACTTTGGGGTTCCGTCGCGCGCCTTGTGTAAAAAGCTCAAGTCCATCAAAAACCTCGAGTGTTTATTCCCAGGCTGACACAAGCCGTATAGAGCTTTACAGCTTTACAAACCATAAATCCTTAAACTCTCGTATATGACCCGAACAGTGTACTTTAAGTGTGCAGCTTGCCAACACATCTTGACACATCTTCGGTCTTGGAGCCCATGGCTTGAGACAACTTCTTAATTGGAATGTTTCATGGTTGAGCTATTATCACGATTTCAACGATTTCCATTGTTATTGTCATCACCAGTTCATTGCTTACGTTTACCAGCCTTGTTCTCCTGATCTTATTGCGATGCTGGCTACAGATGTCAGGCTCTCTCTGTTGAGGAATTGCGGCCTTGGGGCCTCTCTGGAGATTTCGGCTCTGCTTCGGCTCTAGGAGGTTAGGAAAAAGTGCAGCAATAAGAATGCCAATACCTGCCAATAAGAATGATCCTGCTGATATTTTATGCAGGTAGTCGTCTTGCAGAATAGTTGTTGCTAGTAGAAGGATGAACTACATGATGCTTAACTATCGTGGTAAAAAACCGGTTGATGATGATGGTAACGATGATGACGACGATGCAGATGACCATCATAATACTAGCAGCACGAAGAAACTAGTATGTATGCACTTGTGGCATAAAGTGTCTGCCAACTCCAATTCGAGAGCTAACCCCGAAGCCCGCAACCCAATCTAATTATGAGCAGGAAACTCCAATTGCTGACAAGGCATTCCCACATGTTGGCTACGTACATGTCTTGCTGTTGTCCACGCAACCAGCATCAAGCATTAATGCTTGGCGAGCGCGAGGTTCACTTACAGCTTCTGGACCAGGCCCGCTGCTGTGCGTCTGTGGAGTTGCATCCTCGAAGCGTGATCGCATGTTCGGCCCTCCCAGAGTCCCGCGAGGAAGCTGCAGGCAATCTTGCTCCTGCGTGACGGGCGGTATCTCCTCGTCGGGACGAGCGAGATGCAAGGCACCTCAGAGACTGCAGCTGCTTTTGTGTGTTTCAGCACGGGTTTAGGGTTTGTGGCAGTTTCTGGTCTCCGGGGCCTAGGCCAGGAGCGATCTTTCTGCACTCTGTGATCTAGACTCTAGACGGGTCAAGCAGAAGCCGTCGATGAGACACGTGAAGTCCTTGACGCACTTGCGGTGTAGTTAGACTTTAGACTAAGGCGAACAAAGCCATCCTTGTCAGCCAACTTATCCAGTTTATTGTTTGGTAAAGAGGTCAAGGCTGCTTCCACAGCGTCCGTTTCGGGTTCTCCGGAATGTCGTTCGGAAGGAACCATCGATTCGCAGGCGGCGGGATTGGTCGCTTGGCCGCCTTGATGAGGAGATGCGAGGGGGCAGGTTTGGAGTATCTTCTCGTGCTGGCCCTTCCGGTTCTTAGCCAGCTAGTGGCGGATGGATCGCATCAAGCTGCACCTCTATGATAACGAGGAGGACGCCAATAATGTCGATGCTTGTGCTACCTGGATGATTATGACGCCGATGTTGATGATGACGAGGATGATGGATGCTTATGATGATGATAATGGTGATGCTCATGATGAGGGTCATTATCATCATCTTGATGCTTATGATGTTGATGTCAATGTTGTTGGTGCGGGTGCTGATGCTGATGCTGATGGTGCTGCTGCTGGTGCTGGTCATGGCGATCAAGTTATTGATGGTGAGGATGACAATGACGATGACGATGACAATCACGATGCAGAGGATGTTGACGATGATGATGATGATGCTGCTGCTGATGATGATGATGATGAAGATGGTTATGATGAAATGAGGGTGAGGATGACGGTAATATAGCCGTCACCATCACACTCATAGAGCAAGCGCTGTGTTTTCATGGGCAGTCATTATGTGCCTCATCGCCCTTGCAGATTTATCCTCTTCTTATCCTCCTTGCCTCTTCCCGTGCTCCTACCTCGTCCCGGTAATCCTCATTCTCATGCTCATCCTGTTTACCATCATCATTATCATCATCACCACCACTACCATCACCACCATCACAACCATCACCACAATCGCAGGGTTTCCTGGGTCAGCGCGCTACCGGAGGCCTGCCGCTGCTTTGTGGCCGATTCGCTGGCATCCATCGTCCTGTTCGCCCAGGCACCCAGCAGGAACTCGAGCTAATTCGGGCACGACAGTTTTGTTTTCGTTTTCGGTTGCACCTTGGGGCTGTGGAGCTGAACCTTCTGTTCATTCTGTTCTAGGGCCTGTTTGAGGGGACCTCGTACTGAGCTGTTGGGCCTCGGTGACTGCCAGGGGCTGCTAGGTGTTCTTTTGTCATTCTCGGGAGAGGTGGAGTCCTTTTCGTAATGGCGCAAAGCTTGAGCTTGAACTGATGCGGAGATTTCAGACCTGCATGGCAAGAAAGTGCCGAATGCATTCACGAGGAGCAACCTGCGAACCCAAGACCAAAGGCAAGAGAAGCCATGACCGAAGCCTGGAAGCTGCTGTGAAGGATGACATTAGCCGGCAGATCCTGCGCGTGCGAACCCCGGAGTCACCGGACCCCAAGCGCCAGCAGCAGCGCTGGAGCATCCCGGCGTGCATTTAAATCCTAAGCCAGAAACGGTACGGCCTTTCCGAGCTTATGCTTTCGGAAGGAGCGGTTGGTTCGATGTGTGAGTTTTTCCTCACCCTCGGTGTGGGGTTGTTAGATTTAACGTCAGCTATTACTCCCGCCAGCTCGTCCGCTGAGACTACCTCCAGAGACAGCCTGGAGTGCCCACCCAGAGACTACCGTGAGTGCCCAACCTCCAAACACTACCGTGAGACTCCCTGGAGTGCCCAGATCAGAGACTACCCTGAGACTGCCTGGAGTGCCCAACCCCAAAGACTAGCACGACACTCCCTCGAGTGCCCAACCCCACAAACTACCATAAAATTTTTTGGAGTGCCCAATTTCAGAGACTACCGTGAAACTGCCTGTAGTGTCCAACCCCCAAGACTACCGTGAGCCTCTCTGGAGTGCCCAACCCGAAAACCCCAACACCTTAACGCCAGTTAATGGTGTGCCCCCATGGATCGTCGACTGACCTGAATCGAACACGTGTTTTGGCACGTGTACGGTGATCCCACGTCCGTATCGCCAGTCGGTGGTGTGATCCCATGGGTCGTCGAATGACCTGAATCGAACACTTGTGTTTTGTTACGTGACCGGGGATCCCACGACCGTAACGCCAGTCAGTGGTGTGGAGCTAAATGCAGTATCTGTCGGCTGGGTATGTTCGAAGTAAAATAATTTGGCTTGTCTCGCTCAGCACCCAAGGAAGAAGTCTTCAGTTCCTCGTTGTAGGCTTTGGGAATCCAGGCAATCCCGTAGAACTCCAACCCCGAACAGTCTGGCACTCAGATGACTCCAGCTCAAGATTGCAGTTGCCTCGCGTGGAGGGCGATGTCGGGCACGAGGAGGAAGGGCGAGCAACGATTGAGGGATGGAGAGTTTGGGCTCTCGGCAGTTTAGTGTCTAAGGGCCCCAGAGATTAAGATTGGGCTGAAAGGCCGCCGTGCATTGGATTTGGGGTTTTCGGTTCCCACAACTTTGAGGTTGTAGGGCGCGGGCACAGTTTCGAGGAGAGCGGGCTTCAGGCTTTGCCACTTTGAGGTTTCGACTTCTGCGACTCTACGGGTGTTTCAATCAATATCTGTGCACAGAGCAAGTAGATGGGATCCAGCTGTCAGGCATCTTGATGGCGATTATGCACACAATGTCGTGGTGTCGAGTGTTCGCCTACCGCCAGTCAACACCGGGAATTGCAGGACCCCTAAACAGAAATCCGTCCAAGTCTACACTCGTTACAATCGGCTAAAAAAGCAAAATGTCGCCCGTGCAGCGCGCGAGGTCTTCGGTAAGTTTCCCAAGGCCGACGAAGCCACCTTCCAAGCAGTTGGTGGGGGGGCCGGGTTTGTTTCGTACTATGTTGCAGACCACCGATGAAGAAATTCGCTTTCCACCAGAACTAGTAGGCCCCAGAAAAAGCGGGATTTAACAAGTGGATTATGAGTCAGGCTTGGCCGTCCTGATTTGCGGATCGCCGCATAATTTCAGGTTTCCCTCCGTGGGCTGTTCCGAAGCAGAGGCTCCGTCTTCCCATTGGAGATCCTTACCCTAATGATCCCGCTCCACTTGGGCCTGTGTACTGGAATGGAATGAGGTTTCGACTACAGCTGGGACTGTAGCATCACAACACAAGGGTTCTAATGTGAACCGCACTTTTTCCGAAACCCGGGAGCCCTTCAACGAGAGATGCAATCCCTTATCGACACTATTCCTTTTGCAAACTCTTGCCCTGCCTGGCCAGTGCAAGTTTGGCATTATCCTGTGACGGACCAGTGTCGCACGGTGCAGTGCACATTCTGCCGTAGCTGCGTTTCGGATGATGTCCAGGAGTGGAGAGCTTCTTGGGACGTTCTGGCTGCCCAGTGCGCTTGCGAAGCCAAAGATTGAAAAACACTCGGTGACTGACTAATTCAGGTGCTGCAGTCCCTCGAACGCCCACCGCTGTTCAGCAACACCACCTTCGACCAGGATCGGGAAGCCCTCGCGAAGTAAGGTGACACTAGTCTCAGCCACTCTGAGCATATCTCAGCCCCTTCGAGCCAGGCAGCAGTGTGCAAATGTCGCAGGTCTAGAGTTCGTCGGTGTTTTTTGTCTTGGAGTTGCAGGGTTTAGGACCGGAGTTTCAATTTAGGGCCCCGCAAGGCATGATATGGCATGATCATGCACTGACGTCCTGAATCGTTGCCAGAACCGCGTTTAAACGCATCCCTGCCAGCAGCCATGGCTGCCATGGCATGGCAACGACTCCACTACCTAAGACCTAAGCCGGAAAACCTAGCCCCGCCAAAGCCTTCCCGAACGTCGCGAGAAGCAGCAATTCCTTAGATTCACTTCTGGCTGCTCTTCGAGGAGCAGGCACGCGCCAGCGTGAAGAGAGGCGCTTTCTCCAGCAGATCGGGTTCAGGGGTTATCTAGCAGTTTGGGAGTTGAGTGTTTGGGCGGTTCGGGGTGGAGGTGTGGCGTTAGCAGTTGGAGTTTGGGTCCTAGGGGTCCGGTTTCGCCGAGCTAGAGAGCCTGCACAGGCGCAAAGTGCCGGGTCCGTCGTGTGAGTCCAACCTTCGGCTTCGAGTCCTGCAGCACGCAGGCCAGTCCCCGTCTGTGTGTATGCATGCAAAATTTGTGCAGTATGCTTAAGGCTTAAGGCTTTGGTTTCCCAGCCGGCTTAGGGGCCACGGGCTATGGCTCATTCTTTCAGAGTGATTTGAGGCGGCGACTTTTCGTGTGCAGATTTGGATGCAGGGTTGAAGGATACGGCTTGCGGTTGGGGTAGCGGCTGTGCCGTTGCGTCTGCGGTTCCTGCGTGGCTCGGGTTTGGACATAGGTGCTTGTCATCGCAATCATCGTTACCACCATCATGAGTATCTGCTTTATTGGTATCCTCGTTTTCGTGTTCTCATCATGCTCTCTTCCACGTCAGGCTGAAGCTGTCAAGGTGTTTGCGACGTCGTTGTTTTTGCTGTGATGTCGTGGGCACCGTCGATGTTTGAAGCGTGGTTGTTTTTGTGGGTGTTGTCCCAGCGTACAAGAGCAGTCGTGTGACCTCGGTCTCACAAGCGACCTCTGCGATAGAGACACAGATAGCCCCATACCGACAGCGTACATGTTCAAGCAAGCTTCCCAAGTTCCGAAGGGATCGCCTAGCCGCAATGATGTCCTTCTGGAGTTTCCTGTTGCTGTGTGCTGCGGCCATGGGCACCAGTCGAGCGTGCTCTTGCATGTCAGGCTTCATCCCAGCACATGAGGCCTACTCGTCTCCAGCAGAAGTATTCTTCAGGCAGCCCTTCGTTTTCACAGGGAAGGTTCTCTCCGTCCAGCCAGTCGACGGCATGCCAGGCGAGCAGTCTGAATATTGTGCAGCGCCTCCAGCAGCTCACGACGAGCGGTGGGGAAATCCATGCACTGGTGACTATGCAGGCCATTTCGACAGGTGGAACAGGTGTGGCCGGAAACATGTTGCCGAGGTGCAGGTCACTCATGGACTTCAGGGGATTGCAACAGGCGAGACTTTCCGGTACAACTGCACTCTTGCAAGTTGCGGCGATTGCAGTCCGCCCTGCCCCGAGGTGGGTGCAGAGGTTCTCGATGGGACGCCAGCAGGTGGCGCGACGTCCTTCTGCGGCTCGCGACGCTGTGAGCTCGGCGGTTGGGATGCATACAGCTGCCAGCACCTCCTCAAGGCGCTGCAGCAGAAGAGGCCTGCTGAAAGCAGGAAGCTTCAGGTTTCCCTTCCCGTGGCGTTCTCCACACTAACAGCCAATTCGTACTTCCGTGGCCAGCTCTTGAAAGCGCTGGTCCGGGATGTGCTGGATGCACTCAATCTTTCGAAGTTTGACATCAAGTCCGCAAACCTTGTGGGGGATCCGCATCGATCCGTGTCAGTGACACCTTATGCCGTCCTTCCGTCCAGTCTTTTCGAAATCGTCTTCTACATGCCGAAACAGAAGGACGTGGACACGGTCGAATCAAATCTTCGAGAGCTGTTCTCAGTGCCCTTCAGCTGGAAGGAGGGGTGGGACGTTGTGAGGCGGTTGTGCCTCGACGGGCCATGCCCTGAGTGCCAAACCACCTGTGTGGAGTCCTCGCAGACTTCATTGGTGAGCATAGGCTTGCCCATCTTCGCCTGAGTATGCTGCTGTTGCCGTTGGTGCAGTGACGGCACGATACCCTACGAAAGAAGCAGCCGCTGCAACCAACATCATACTTCCTCATCGTGTACGCACCTGAGCTGATGGCTTCCTTTCGGGGAGTAGCGCCCGAGGGCTCAGCACCCGCTCTTAGCCTTGGGGTGTGGTGGCAAGGTGTATGTTGCACACGAAGTAAAGCCCCAAAACCTGCCTGAACCCCCGGCTCGGAGAAGGTGTGATTTGCCGCTTCCGCCTCTGTACAGGGTGAGAGGACTCAGCAGTGAAGAGTTGGCTTCCAGCTTGCAGGAGCTTTAAGCACCTCCCTTTAACCCTAAAATAAACTACGAAGGCAGAGTTTGTGATGATCATGATGATGGCTGATACCATCCTTCTTGACTGTCTTTCATGATTGTCTGCATCCAAAGCCGTACATTTCCAGCTACATCCAGTCCCTTGGGCCCTCAAGCCTTCAAATCAGCGAATGACACATTATTGCGATTCTTCGAATTTGTCTAAATCTTTAGAGCCCTCCTCCAACTACACAGGTCACGATGAAACCCCGTACCGCATGAAGCCATCCGACACGGCCAGGAGTGGGACCTCACAGACGGGCCCGTGAACTCGGCCAAGGAGCAGGAGCTGCCTCGATCACTGTTTCCGGGTGCCGCTCCACTGATTCTTGTTGCAGTTGTTGCTTCGTTGCTGTTGCCGTTGCTGATGCTGCTGTTGCTTCTGTCATCATCGTCATCATCATCATCATCATCGCGATCCTCATCCTCGTTATTGTCACCATCGGCATCACCATCACCATAATCGCCAACATCGTCGCCAGCAAGATCATCACTTGCGTCTTCGTGGAGGGCTAGCCGGGAGGTCAAACGGAGGAAAGCGGAGCTGGAACTCGGAGCTGCCAAAGTCCCAAAATAATCCGTAAGATGCCTTTTGTTTGAAGCATTCAGCGAGAAGAACTAATCGGTCCCTCCTACCAGGAATACGTCCAGCGTGCCCAAACCTCAGACCGCAGATTCATCAGTCGCTTGGCTGCAAGGAGTTGCCGAAGTCCGAGTTCTGCAGTCCTTGGGCAGGATCTCCTCCCTCTTACTGGTAGCTCATGGAGGGCCTTTATTTCCTCAGAGCTCGCATTCAGAGGTGCGCTTGCCTTGGCTAGTAAGCTTGCATTCAGGTTCTGCTGTACCCGGGCTGCTTCCAGCCTAAATCCTGAAGCCTTGCATCCGATTGAGAACAGGGCTTGGTCTGGAACTTGCATGCAGGTTCTCCACAGTCACCGTTGCAGCACACGTTCCTTCCTTCGCGCCTAGGTTGACGATCACCTCAACTATTGGTTTGAGTACTGCCGGCCTCCTTTCGATAAGAAACGGGCGCGGATTGGATCAGACCCTGGAACTCCTTTGTTAATTTAAGATTGACTCAGGGTCTGAGTAGAGTTCTAAAACATGATCCCAACCCTCCCCTTCACCTCCAGCCCGCCAGCCTAGAAGCAGCCCTCCAGCAGCAGAGCAGCTGGAGGGCTGGAGGGCAGGGCTGGAGACCCAAAACTTGTGCGAGCCACGTTGAGGCGTCCCATCAATGCCAACCTTTCGTACACAGCGAAAGACTGGTGCGCTATGAGCACTGTGATGACTAGCCATGAACTCTCCGCTTCAGAGAAGCTCCAAAGTGCACTGCATACACACATACATGGATAGAGCTCCAGAACCAAGGCATTTCAGTCTGGCCAGCCCTGATTTCTTGTTTGGAACGGTTCGCTGTTGTACGGCTTTGAAGGCTGAGGGTCAAGAAACAGACCTAGCCATGAAATCTGAGCATTTGTGCACCTTCGCAGGCGAATGCAACGGTTACAAGTCCAAGCCCTGGGAGATACTATAGGGAGTCGCAGTTTGGAAGGGAAGCGCCGCTCCGTCAACCACAGGTTTCAGTGGCGGATGCCATCTGGGCCTGAAGACTGGGAGGCACTACTCCGCCGAAGAAACTCGGACCTTGTTCTGCTGTTGCTATTTCGCAGTTTGTTGAGTTGATACTGTAATGGCAGAGGCAATGGGAACGGTGATGGTTGTGGTGGTGGTGGTGGTTGCGTTGCTGGCGGTCGTTGTTGTAGTCGTCCTCGTCGTGGTCGGCGTCCTCCGCCTTGTTGCTGGATGTTTCCCTGATGTGTTGCGGGCAGCGGCAACGGCAGCAGCAGCAGTAGCAGCAGTGGTGGTCATCTTACCAGCAGCATACACATGGGCACAGTTCACAATGAATTCACGGTATCCCTGGAATCTGTTGCTATGATGAGAAATCTAAGAGAACGTGTGGAATGTGGAGTGGGCTTTGTTGGTAGCTTCACTGCGGGTACCTGCCTCAGATGGTCTCGATGTCCTCAACCCTGGTCGCCATCTTTTCCTTTTGCAGCCGCATGGTGGTCTGAATCGTTCCGCGTGAAGCAACTCGGGGCAAGTCGAATGTCGAAGGGCCTTTGTTCCTACTGACCACTAGACTCTAGACGATCGCCGCCGTCACGCTGCTTCTGTCCGATTAAGGTACGACATGTTGATGTTTCAGCTGGCACGGTGGACGTTGTCTACGCGGACTACCAGGTTCGTTTTGCCCCCGAGAAAGCCTCTTCGGCCGACGCAGTGGCCCTTCGAGCTAAGCTTTTGGAAATTTCGAAAGGAGCCATGGAGCCAGTAAACCTCTGCAGAGCCATGCCACTCCGACAACCGAGGCCTAGAGTCCGGCAAAAGCCGCAGAAACCCCACGCCGATAGATGCCACCAGTATCCAACAGCTAACATGCTGCAACCGCAAGCTGTAAAGCAAGAAGCTTTAAGCTAAGCCGTTAGACCCCAATCCCTAGCACCTTATATAAGCTGTAATAAGCTCAACCCTAAGCCTCAAAGCAGGAGTGGGCCGTCGGAAACTCCGGGCACACGGGCGCCCGGGGCAGCACTGGTGTCCTGCTGCCGCCTTTGCAGGACAATCCGTCGTGTAGGGGTGCTGAGGGCCCGGAGTGCTATTGTTACTGCTGCCGTGAAGTGACGCAGCGCAAACGACGATGACGGTGGAAGAAGCTAAGACTTGTAATGAGAAGTTAGTTGATACGCTGCATGTAAAGTATCTCCAATCGTCGTTCAACCCCATCCTCCTCCATTGCAAATATTTCCACTTGAGTGTGATATTTTGGCTCAGGTTCCATGACAGCTTTCAGACCCTTGAAGATACCCGGATTATGCTAGAACATAGGAGGAGGATTTGTCGTTGAAGGGGCAGAGAAGGGAGGAGGAGAGCTGAAGAAGGAAGCCGAAAGAAGTATGGAAACAACTAAGCCTGATAGTTGTGGTAGCCAGTGCATGAGTATATGCAAATATAGGTGCAAATTTAGAAGGAGGGAGTGTCGCCGAGGTCTGCCACGAACGCCACGGTTTCCACGACGAGTATTAGCCGTAACGGTAACCGACTGACCGTAACAGAGCCGTGTGGCAGAAGCAAGCCCCGACATCGTAAAAACCAAGCGGTTGCTGCTACCCCTTGGAACGGGAACTGCTTCCCCGAGGCTTTCCTTTGAGATCCTGAAGCTAGCGGGGCTTGGCTCAGGGACCGCGCTCCGGCCCCCCACTTAGAGGGGCTGAGACCTACGATTCCAGCACGTTTACCTGCAGCCCCAACATTTTCAACCGACGCGAAGGCTCTGTATTCCAAAAAATCCCCCGAAGCAGTCTCCGACAAATGCTCGCTTGATAAAACGAAGTCATTCGGCAGTTCGGGTTTTCGGATTTAGGGCTTAAGGGTTTATGGCTTGCGGTTTAGGGTGCAGGGTTTGGTGGTTTGCATTTGGGTCGACATAGGCGTTAGCACGCTGTACGCTTTAGAGTCCTTACAGGCTGTAGCAGGTATGTTTGGACGTCCTCCTTTGCATGCCCGTGGGGAGTGTTTTCGGTCCCCTACTTTGCGAGCATAAAAGCCTGGTTTTCGGTGGTAATTCCTGTTACGTTGGTCGTCGGGTTGCTGTTACTCTGGGCGCGAGTTTCTGACACACGTGTGCGAATCCGGTCTGCGTTACTTCCGCGCCCAGCTTCGACAACACCACGAGCACCACGCGCACCACGAACACTACCAGCATCACCCCCGCCGTTGCTGCTGCCCCGACAGCGACCACGAATGTGGCGCCTAGCCGTGACAGCCTCCACTTAGTTTCCGCCACGCCACTACCACATGATACCAGCTGAGCAGGAACCATGTAGCAGACTGCTGGTTCGGGTAAGCCAGCCCGTGTCCGAAATCCGTACCTCGAAGAGGAAGCTGACGTGGAGATGGACCGCGTGCAGCTTCTGCCATCAGATGAGTCTAGGTTTAACCGAGGAGCTGGAACTTTACGCTCCGCGTCGTAGGTATTACCGCAAGGGGTTGTGAAGTTGTCCATGGTGTTTTTGGAATGTCAAATCGCTGTAGGCTTCGTGGTGTGAGTTTTGGGGTTGCAGGCTCAGGAACTTGACTTCGTGTACGTCGTGTACAGGGAGTTTCTCAAAATCAGGGGTGCCTTTTCCATCTAAGCAGCAGGTTGCTTCAGGGAGAGATTCCCACATTCACAATGGGTTCAATAGGGCGGGCAGAGCAGCGGCACGGGGCCTTTACTCGACACCCATGTCCCTGAGAAGAATATGCCATGTTCCAGCATGTTCCGACAGCACGACGCCCAACGTCCTGCGCGGCGTGGCCTCTCGTCAGTGCCCGAAATCTCTTCGTATTCCAGGCAGACCTATGAAAGAGCATATCCCAAACCCCGAGCCTGCTTGCTTTGAAGCTTTGACCAGGGTTTGCTTTTCGGGTGCTCGGGATTTGGAGGCAAGGTTCTTTGCATGACCAGCTCCCTGATCCCAGGAATGGTACTGGCATTTCCAGAATGTGTCCTGGCTGCAGGGAACAGGCTGCACAATTCTCCGCCAAGCCCTACTGTTATTATTATGCTTACCAGCCGTGTTATCATTTTATTGACGTTACGAACATTACAAGTATGACAATTTTTCTCATTAGTATTGCTCTTGTTACAGTTGTTACTCTGATGATTATTGTTATTATTACTACTGTTATCATTTTTACAGTTATTATTAGTAGTGTTATTCGTACTCTTATTACCATTATCACGGTTATTGTTACAAGTTTTCTATTCTCACGACCAATGCGAAGTTCTATGTTCTTTAAGGATCCCAGAGCTCTGAAGCCTTGCAGCGAAAATTCCTCACGAAACCTTCCAGATTGCAGGGTGCCCCAACGAGGCCTTCTCTTTTCGCTTCTGACGATGGATCCTTCACGTTGGGGCTTCCTACAACTCCAGGGTCTCCAGCCCCGATGGGCAAAAAGCAAGTTTGGAAGCGGAGCCCTACAGTGCCCCATACAGGCCCCGAAGGCTCAACATCAGAAAGCCAAAACGTGTGAGCCATTCAACACCCACAAGGGCGGGAGGCGCCCAAATGCCGAGGTCTGGGACCCTTGTGGCTGTTTCACTTGCATGAGCCTGGGCTTTGAGGACATGAGCCGAGGCCAGGAGTCCCACTGCCAAGCTGCTGTTGGGTTTATTTTCCTCTGACTCTGGCCGTAGATTCCATGTTGTGTTCGAGGTTTGTAACATGTGAAACAGGCTCCATACCTTTCGGCAAGCTTTGCGTGGTCTGTTGACGCCGCGGTGGTCCGTTTTACTCGAATCCCTCGACTCCAAGTCGAGGATAGCCGCATCTCTGTCTTATTTGTGACCCAACTGTCTACATAGGTGTGTGTCTAACCAACCAAATGACTAGCGGACTGACTTACTAACCAACCAACCAACCAACCTGCCAACTAACTAGCACCCACCCACCAGCCCGCCGCCCCCCCACGCACCCACGCACCTACCAAAACTTCACGCGCATACACATATTCCCTGCACCTGTCGTATCTATCGGTATTGCCTTTGCGACAGCGATCTTAGTTGATTAGAAACCCATTCATTCGCGCATGTATGTGGGCCGGTGTATTTTGAAATTGCATCCGAGTGCTTACATGGTCTGCTCGTTGCGTTCCAAGCAGAGCAGGCAACTCTTCCTTCCTACAGGAGCAGCCCAGGCAGATGAGAAGAAGAAGAAGAAGGAGCCCCCGAAAGAGGCCACAGGGTCTCTTCCCCGTCAGTAGCGGGAGTTGTTCTCTTCTCCTCCTTCCCATTGTCTTAGCTTTGCCGTTGTCAATGGCTATTGTGGTTCTGCTTGTTCTTGTGACATTGGATGTCTGCCTATTTTTGCTGCATTGATACTGTCCTTGCTGATGTGAATGCCATCACCCCCAGTCACCAGACATCCTCCCCCTCTTCATCGTCATCATCATGATTTCTCCTCCTCCTCCTGCTCCTCCTCATCACCATCATCATCTTCATCCTCATCACCATCATCACCATCATCACCATCATCACCATCATCACCATCATCATCATCATCATCGGCATCATCATCATCATCATCACCACCATCTTCATCATCATCATCATCAGCGGCATCATCATCATGGTCAGCATCAGCATCAGCATCATCATCTTGTCTTGATTTAGGGTTTATTAGGGTTCAGGGGTTTAGGAGTTTACGGGCTGAGGGTCAGGGTTTAGGGTTTCGGGTTTCGGAATTAAGGTTTAGGGTTTACAAGGCTTCGGGTTTCTGGACATTGTGCGCGTCTTAGACAACGGAGGCTAAAGAACTCTCCAGCTGCTGATATTGGGTACTTCGGGCACTGATAATGATCATGTTCGTCCACCATGACCTGCAGCTGTATCAGCCATATGACAACACCAGGGCCATGGCCAAGAAGCTCGGCCGCGCGAGCTCCTTGCTAGGAAGCAGGTGGTCAGCGTGGTTGAAGTACATGCAGCAACACGCTGGGGGCAAATACTTTGTGCTGCTGTACTTGACCAACGCGCTCTGCTTACGGATAACACAAGCCGCGAGGCTCGAGGGGAAGGACTTCAACATGAAGCACAAGAAGGTGTGGATCTCTCCTTTCAAAAAACACCCCGGAGTATACAAACCGCTTCTTCCTTCCGTGCTGAAGACTCTCAAAGACATCAAGAAGAGTGGCGTGAAGAGCGACAAGGGAAACTTCGCATGGCCGCAAACAGGGTTGCTCTTTCCCTCACGTCCTGGGACCAAGACGAAGGCGCGGCACATGACCAAGGACACCGTGGCAGCCTGCATCCGGCGCCATCGCAAAGGCTTCATCAACAAGTACAAGCACAAGTATCCTGACCTTGTAGAGCCAGCGAGACCCATACGCTCGCACTCCGGAAGGAGGCACTGCATCTCAACCTTAGCCGGGGCGGAAGTCTCAGCTGATGCGTGCATGGCATTTGCCCAAATCCAGACATTTAGGGTGTTCAAAGTTTACGTAGACAAGAGTGCTGAATCTGTTGCACCAGTGCTGCGTCAGGCTGACCGCAAATTGCGGATCGGGCAAAAGTAACTCCGGAGCTAGTGAAGTCTCCGTCGCACGGCTGTTCTCCACGAATGTGTTTTTTCCTCTCACCCTTGCTGTTGGACGCTCACCCACGCAGGCTAATCAGAAAGAGAGATTGCACTGGCAGAAGCTGCTGTTGAGGTCTCCCACCGTGCTGGCATGTCTGAAAGTGGCACGATTTGTGCTGTTGAGAGGATCCGGCGGAGCAGCCTCTCGAGGAGATGCACCGACATTCCGTTGCCGAGCAACCTGCCGAGCTGAGACTGTGTGACTGCACCGCGGACAATTTCGGAAGAACGTATCCCCATGAGCCGTGCAGCTTCATAGACATTCATGCGACGCCCTCGATTGAGAATCCAATGAGACTCCGCCCCAGTGCGTGCACGTGTGAGGCAAGGCACCACTCCATCCATCCAGCGTGGGCCCCAGGTAGCGCTGGAATCAAGATGCACGACATTGCTCTGCAAAGGATCCATCTGTAACGCTCTAGCCACTTGCTCGAAGGCTGTCTTGAAGTTGCGGCGGGCTGTAGTTTGGCTAGACGGGGGCAGGTCATAGACGGTTGCTGTTCCCTTTCTCTCATCCAGAAGGAGCTCCAAGTGAGCAGGTCTTACAGGCTTTGGCCACTCCCATGGAGCATCAGGTTGCACGAGAGATTTGTCTATTCCGACAATGAAGAGGCGGGATCTATTCTGAGGAATCCCATGATCCTTGCTGTTGAGCAATTGCACATGCACGGCATAGCGGCTGCCTCCAAGTTGGAGAAGCTCTTTAAGGAACCACTTCAGAGTCTCGCGATGATAGTGCCATAGGCCTGAGACGTTCTCCAGCAGAAATGTTTTAGGTAGCAATTGAGCCAGTGTGTGTATCACATACGCGATAAGAGAACCACGTGGATCCTCGTGGCCAGCATGAAGTCCAGCACTCGAGAATGTTGGACACGGGAACCCACAGCAATAGAAGTCGATGCTGCCTGCAGGGACATTCGGCAAGCGGCGGCTGCGCATGTCGGCGTTGTAGGCAGCCGGACTGCTGGGGAAGTGCGCCCCGAAGAAACGCTTTGCAACAGGGTCCACATCGCAAGACTGAAGGTGTATGAACTCCACGGACAAATAGCGCAACGCAAAGAGCGGGCATTCCATCCCGGAGCAGTCTGTCCAGACTGTGACACAACGAGGAGAGACTGGCAAAAATCGCGGGATCTTTGCGGCCTGCTGCATAGCCTCATCTGCAGCTGCCACTTTCCGCTTGCATGTCCTCGGAGGCATTGCTAAAAAAACGGCGCGAATTTGAACCTGTCAATGCCTTCCAGAGATACTTTGGGAGCATGGGGCATCATCACTTGCCGTGACACTCACCGCGACATTTGCACAATGAGGCCCTGCAATGAGCTGTCATTGTTTCTGTCCGGTTGCTTGTCGTATGACCTCTTCGGCCAGGTATGCGAACATGCACATTGACAACACTGCGAGCGCTGTGGCCTTGGACGGAACACAGGCTTCCGAGCACAGCTCAGATGCCCCCGAAATCTTTGCAACAGCATTGAAGACTCCTGACACAACCTTCTTCGTAGCTGCCCTCGGAAGCAGTCCAATCCAGCAAAAAAGAGTGGACGTGCGGCACACAGTGGATTCTGGGTTGCGCAGAGCTGCACACCAAAGGGTCGGTCTGATATGAACTGCAGCTGAAACTTAAGTCGGCAAACAGAGCCGGTTGATATGAACGGCGCCTGAAACTTAAGTCAGCAAAGACAGCAGCGTAGCGCGATGATGCAGTGATGCCTGCGCAATATCACACGAGGGATCCACCCTCAACTTCAACAACTCTGCCTACCCGGACGGGGGCGGGGCTTCGCCCTCGCCGCCCTGCTTGGCAGAATTCTGGACTTGGACAAGCAGCTCAGCCAACGACTGGGGCGGCTTCTTACCTCCCTCCGCACCTTCACCGTTGCCCTCTCCGCCGCCTGTGTTGCCGCCCTTGCCTTTGCCTCCCTTCCTGCCAGCCTTCTTGCCGCCGCCCTTGCTGGCGCCGTCGCCGCCTGTGTTGGCCCCGTCGTCGCCGCCTTTACTGGTGCCGTCGCCGCTCTTGGCTTTCTTCTTGGCTTTGCCAACCTTCTTTCCCTTCTCAATCTTAGACTCGTCGGCGTTTGCGTTCAGGAAGTCCAAATCTGCCACGGCCATGGGCTCGTACAAGCGCGTGCACTGCGGATCTCTCATCAAGCGGAACACGCGTTCCTGCAGCCTTTCTCTGAGGAGAGTTGCGTGGGCTTGGGTGTTGACGATGGCGAGGTACTTCTTCTTGAGCATGATGGCCGCCAAAGCTGCGTTGTCGTTCTGCGGGGTCATGTCCAGGATGCTGGCCGCCCAGTAGCTGTGGTAGATCTCCTCCCAGAACTTCGCTGTGTTTCCATGGAAGGACACGGGCTCAAGGTCCGTCGCAGCACGTTGGGCTTTGCCTTTCTCCGCCAGCTCGGGCGGCACTGACGAAGCACCGCCGGACTCACGCCGTGTGTCCCCCAGAAGTTCTCTTTTCTCCTGCACGGGCAGATTCCATTCCTCGTCCTTGTTGTTGGGGTCCTGCTGCAAGCTACTGCGCATTGGACTCTTTAGACCGAAACTGCGCAAACCCTACCAAGGACAGCTCTCAGACTCTCATTTTTTATCAGCAATGATCCTCCAGGGTCACGGGCCCCAAATGGTTGAACTTGTTCGTGCTGTTCTCCATGGTCAAGCGTTTGCGAGCACCGAGCTCCAGCGCGTTCTGACTGATCATCACCGAGTGTTCGACGACGTCGAGCTCGAGGCTATCGCAGCAGCGAACGCGACTGCGACGGAGCAGCGTGCTCTCCTCGTACGTGATATAGAGCAGCTTCCTTGATTTCCGGAGCTTGCGGTCCGGGAGATTGAAGCACTT